GAAGCACTGGACGGCCGTTTCGTCCTACCGTGGGACTTCTGAGCAGTGCGCATCCACGATCCCGCCTCGCGAGATTAGATCCCAGGACCTATCGGTCTCGCGCACGAACGCTTAACCTCTAAACGATTGAGGCGGCATTCAATAGTGTTAATGTCTAACTTCAACTTATCCACCAAATTGAACGACACATCCACCATTGTCTTCAGTGAGTTAATATCTCACAACAGATCTGGTTGAACTCCACTGGTCACTACTTCTCACTAGAACTCAAGGATATACCTTTTGAAGGGGTTTATGTGGATATCATAGTAACTTTAATAGTTGAGATCATGAGTCAGGCGAAGCCGGCTCATTGATCTAGTGGTTGAGCTCTTGCTCGCGAAACCGATAGGTCCTTTGATCGGGCCTCGCGGGGTGCGCACTGCTGAGGAGTTCCACGATAGGACGAGACGGCCGTACAGTGCTTCCAGGTTTTCCATGGTGGTTTAGTTTCAACTGATTCATGATCTCAACCATTGAAATTACTATAGTATCCACAAAATCTCTTCTGATTTTAATGAAATATTCACCAAACAAATGATTGATAGTCAAGTGAAGTATTTAATCTTCTTAAAGTTTGAAGTTGTCTGCTATTGGGAAATTCACTTCCATATGATGGGTAATTTGATAGTCTTCAGATTGAAAGTAAAGCATTTGAATTCAAGGTTTCAATCCAACTGGACAATGAAATCGTTAGTTAAAGTTACATGTGTTTATTAATATTACATCTAAAATCACGTATATATAAAAGAATAAGTGAAATAAAACTGTGGAAATATCTAATAAAACTTAACCATCTATTAGTCAGTTTACATACATTAACCATCTTTTCTTACATTCAAATACCATTGGTATAAATTTGGGGATATTTAAGTACATGGTTTGGTTTCAACGATTTAAAATCTTCCTATGGACTGCCTAATATTCAATGAAATCATCCAAAGTAATTGAAGGGAAAATAATTGTGAATCACATAAAGTGAAATGTTATTAGTCAATCGTTTCCACCATACGATTCAGGTGCTCCGTTTTTATTCTCAAGCATAATAATTCACAATTCTTAAAATGTGTTATAACTTTAACTCATTTACGAAGTACATGTTCGTGTGCTGAGCTTTTAGTCGAACAGTTTTTATGAGGATACTATTGTTAATCAGATACTCGACTGAAAATCATTCACACCGTTACAGACAGAATAATATCCAAAGTGAGTCATTTAGGCAATTCAATATGAATTTAATTGAAGTATAGTATAGAAATCTAAGATCAGAATATGGATGTCAAGTGCAAAACATGTATTAAGAAAATGTAGGTTAAGCTCTGTATTTCAAAAATACCGATAAAAATAAAAATGGTCTCAAAGAATAGTACATGCAAGGGAGAAAAGGTGATTAAAGTATTAGAGCAATCTAAAATACCAAAATAAGTGTATTGATGGACGCGATAATTGTCTAGTTGTGACAAAGAAAGATCATATGGTGAAACTTACAGCCAATAAAAATGTTTCACATGAACACAAACTACTGAATATTAATAAACAGCATAACGTAACACACAAAAAGAAGCAGATAAGTTGGAAAACATTTATCATGTAAAGGAAACTTTATCACCAGAATATTAGGACGATTCTTTGAGAATTATAATCACCAAAATAGTTTATGAGTATGATCCTGAACTACCATATTCTTTAAAATTTGGGCAGTAAGTTCATGATAGTGTTTAAAGTAGTTGTCCGTCAATGGTTATAGTATTGAGCACGAATTGAATATGTTTACAGGATGGTTGTGATCTACCAGAATAAAATCAAGTAATATTAGAGAAAATGATTCCAAATATTTCAAAATTTGTTGTGAAACTAGGCCAGATGAGTATGATGTATCCTATTTATGATATAAAAGGATTCACATAAATACCGTATTCTTAGAAAAGTTCACTAATGAGTCTGGAATATTGGGGTTGAAATTGTGATACTCCTTGAAATGATAAGTATTTCATGAAAGTTGTCCAATATATGAAAAATATATGAATGGTTTTCTGTTTCGGTATTTCTTCCTCATACTGCATACAAACTAAATGAACCCGATAAGTGGTTAAATTCTAAAGATTATTTTACGCATGAACCATATGTCGACTTTGAACAGTTTCAAAGTGCATTAAATCGGCTTAGTAATTTAAAAAGTAATTAACCACACACATTTTCTAGCATAACTTCACCTGTAGGTTTTCTAGAGTTACTGCTTGCCCCTAGTTCGGATAGAGTAGGAGGGTTAGACATGGGGTTTGTAACCCTTTCATGTAGAGAAAAAACTTACTAAAAATATGCTAACCAAAAAATTTATTTAAACTATTTAAACTGTACCCTGAGAGTTGAAGGCTCTTTGTTTAGAAGAATTATGACGTCTCGCACTAAAATCCAAGATTCTTCGAAGACAAAAGGCCGATTTTCCCTTTTTACAACCAGAGTAACAATTTTTCTAAATACATGGAATGTTCAGACATTGTGGCAGACCGGGAGGACCAGCGAAATAGCAACGCAATCGAGTCGGTACAAATTGGTGGTTCTCAAAATCAGCGGAACCCATTAGATGCAAGCTGTACAACAAGGGTTAGGTACAGGAGAGGTGCTGCTTTACTCTGGTCACGAAAAGGAAAATGTGTCACACACTCAGGGAGCTGCTCCGATGCTGCCCAAACAAGCACGAAATGCACTTATATTATGGGAATACCATGGATCCAGGATTATCAAAGCATCATTCAGAACAAAGAAGGAGAGAATCACAATGAATATTATCCAATGTTATGCACCCACTAATGATAGCAGCGCCGACATTAAAGATAAATTCTACGAGCGGCAGCAGTCAATCATAGAGAAGTGCCCAAGAAACGACCTCTCCATTCTGATGGAAGATCTAAACTCCAAAGTCGGAATAGACAACACCGGATATGAAGATATCATTGGACGACATGGAAAGACTGGGAGAGAGAGAAACGAAAATGGTGAGAGATTTGCAAACCTATGTGCATTCAACAAGTTGGTTATAGGTGGCACAATATTTCCACACGAACACATACGGAAAGCTACATGGATCTCACCGGACCACACAAGAGAAAACCAGATAGATCATATTTACATCAGTAAAAAATTCTCAGGGTCAATGGAAGACGTGAGAACGAGGAGAGGAGCTGATATCGATTCAGATCATCACCCAGCTGTGGCCAAGATGAAACATTGGACAACTGGAAAAACAGTAATAAAAAGGCTCAATACAACCTCTGCACGAGATACTAACAAACTCAACGGATTCAAGATATCTATTGGCAACAAGTTTCAACCCTTACAGGATCCACTGAAAGAAGAAGAACATGTGAACAAATGGGTGAAATACTTCGAAGAAATTTTTAGTGAACCAGCTCCACTGAATTAACTGGACAACGAAGCAGCACTACAGACCTTCCTATACATGTCAGTCCACTAATGGTCAAAGAAATCAAGGTGGGCAGTCATCAGAAAACTCAAGAGTGGGAAAGTGACAGAACCTGACGATATACCAGCTGAAACTTTGAGGTCGAACATAGGAGTAACTGCTAACAAGCTCCACGTTATATTCGAAAAGATTTGGGAGGAAGAACAAGTGCCACAGACAGACTGGAAAGAAGAACACCTCATCAAGATGCCAAAGAAAGATCTGAGCAAATGTGAGAACTAGCATCACGTTGATAAGCCGCCTAATTATTATATACCAGTAGAATAGCAGTTACATTGTGAATAGTTCATTGTTAGCATGTCACTTCAGAGCCAAGTGACCCATTTTTGAGTGCGGGTTGAAGTATGAATGTTTGCAATTCTGAAAATACTCCATGCTAATCTAGGATAATAAGCATATTAAATTTTGATATAGTAAATATGACGTCGATGAACTTAATTTTATTTCAGTAGTGCGATAGTTTTTGTTAAACCTTTGTCAAGAAACAACTGACGAAAAATGATATAGATCTGGACAATACAATACGTTAGTTTCTGTTGACAGTTTACTAAAAAATGAATATGCCATTTCATGCAAAGTAATCAGTATATATGAAAGACATGTCATGCTCAATTTAGTGTTTAGTCTTCTGATGAAAACGCAGAGAAATGGGATCAATGCTTATTATTTTACTTAATGCATTTTATTGGCAGTTTAGCAAATTAATAAAAAGGACTAAATGAATGGGATACACATAGTCAGTTAAAATATTTTGTTGGTCAGACCTATGTCATCTCTGTTTTTGACAATGAATTACGACGCTTCAAATCTACCATCTTCGATTGGTCCGATCGATATTTTAATATAGAATGAAAAGTTTACAATAATTTAACAAAAGAGCAAAGAAAACAATTCAACTACGTAGAACTAAAAGATGATCGACTAATGACACATTATCGAAGATTTACAAGTGTGTTTATGAATGATCGAAAAGTCGACACAATTAATTCAGTTCTTCAAACCTAATGATTAGCAAAACAAGATTGAAGTGTTTACATTGCATTTAATTGAAACCCCTGAAGAATGGGGACTATTTGTGATGAAAACTTTAAACCACAACTATATTATTGTCCTCCAAGCCAACCAAAGACTAAATGCTCTAACCACCCAGTTCTCTAAATATTTGGATTATGGGTGACCAAACTCTTACATTTCGTCAGGTGACAAACCTTCATTCATTGCCTGTAAAACACTCTGGTCTACTACATGTAAGATGGGAATATACATGAGATATTTTTTATACTGTTTGACTTTGAGTCCCCTTGTGTGAGTGTTTTACCTAATAGAAACCACGTATTCTATCAGGAGGAGCATGGAGTACAACATATTGAAGAGCTGATCAACTTGGAGAATTTAATAAACCGAATAAACAACGTTCTTGATTTTCATCCATCACAAGAATAAAAAGTTAATGATCCATCTTCCCATACACAAATCTGATGGATTCTTATTTCGAACATTATCAACAGAAGAGATGACACTGTAACAAAAAATACTTATTGAAAATGAATATCAATGAATATTTCATAAAATTAAATTATAAAACCAAACTTTCGTATTTATGATTGTTTATCAATGTTACTAAAATGAATTAAATTCTATAGTCTTCCTTAAAAATTTCACATAAAATTAGAAAGAAAAAAATACCCCCCACAGAAATCAGTAATAATAATAATAATTAAGTAGCATAAAAACATCAATGAAAATTAAGAAGCAGCCCATGAAGGAATAAAAGGTTCAAAAATTCTTAGAATATTAAAAGCTATGGATCCAGATTTCATAAATATAACTAAACTTGTAACTAATGTAACATGTTTGAAAATATTTTAATACATGACATTGTTTAAAGTGTTTACAAATTCACAGTAACTGATAACTAAATTAAAATGTTTTACAGAATGACAAGTATCATATACAATATACTAGATTTACTATTTTAAAAAAAATAGAAATTAGATTACATAATTATATGTGGTTCAGAAACAGATTGTGATATTGAATTATGAGGAAGAACAAGTGCTCCATTAAGGAAGAGTTCATCTTTCACAGTTACATCTTCTCCTAGAACTGTAACATTTTCCATTCTTACCTACGAAAAAAAAAATACAATTAAAATTTCATAGGCTATAAAAATATTCATTTATAACGTTATTCATCTATTCTTATATTCAGTATATACTACTTAATTTGAATGTTTATTCATTTGAACACACAAACATTAGTAAAAGAGCACACCAATTACATTTGTGCCACATAACAATGAAGTTGTGAAGAGACAGAGAATGTAAAAAGAGTATAATGAAGAATAAGAGCAACGAACAGAAATTAGTGTATGAGGGTGAAATAATAATAATAATAATAATAATAATAATAATAAATAAATAAATAAACAGTTCAGTTAGAAAAGATACAACCAGAAAGAATTCTTGCACTTAAAGAAAGTAAAAGAAAGTTACAAACGGATCAACACTGGCCTCTATTCTAAGCCATATCTGATAACTTCTCTAGCCACTGTGTTGCACCATCTCTAGGACCCCAGCCAGAGAGTCGTGAAGGTTCAACACAAGCCAGTCCTGTACACCGTTCTTTTATATCACGACACCATTTCATACACTGACCACCTCTCCCCGTTTTCCAACCACTCCCAGCATCGGCAAATAATGCACGACGTGGAATTCTCTGGGACGACATTCGTAGAACATGTCCAAGCCACCGAATTCGATGTTTCACGATAGTGACACCGATTGAATTGTCGTCTCTGTGCTCGAACACACGATGCTGAACCTCTGCATTACTAACATGGTGTTGCCACTGGATGTCAACACTCCTTCGGAGACAACGATGGTCGAACATAGAGAGTCGTCTAACATCCTCAACTCTGAAAGGACAGGTCTCACAAGCATAGAAAAAAACTGCTGTCGCCGACGCGTTGTAGATCCGACATTTTACAGCTAGACCAACATCACGAAGGCGCCAAAGATGGCCCAGATTGGCATAAGCCGCTCTGGCTTTCACTATACGTGAATCGATCTTATCTCTCACATCATCACTAGCACTTACACAACTACCTCGATGCACGAACTTCTCGACCACTTTTATCTGCTCACTACCCAGGGTGAGTGCAGGTTCAGGGTCCTGACAGTCTTGTAGAAGTAGGTGCAGACTCTATACCATACCTACGGACGTTGATTGTCAACTGATTAAATGTGGATTGAATAGCTTGGGTATTGTCGCACAGTAAGACAATATCATCCGCATACTCAAGGTCGAGAAGTCTCTCTTCAGGCAACAGATCCACATCACCATTACCTACATCCATCAGAGCTGTTTCCAGAACGTCGTTGATGGCAAAGTTGACGAGGATTGGTGAGATTGAGCAACCCTGCCTAACCCCACTGCTTGAATGGAACAGTGGAGAGAGGTGGTTGTATGCCCTCACCCTGCCTGAGGTGTTTGTATATAGGGCCTTTGGGATGTTAATAAACTTCTCAGGCACATCCTTCTTCAATAGACAATTCCAGAGAACAGTTCTGTTCAGCGAATCGAAGGCGGCCCTAACGTCAAGATACACCACGATGGTTGATCTGTGGTAAGTAAAGTGGTGTTCTAAAATTTGATGGAGGGTGAAGATATGATTAATACATCCGCGACAAGAGTTAAAACCAGCCTACTCCTCGTCGGTTAATCTTTCTCGGGTTTTGAACAATCAACGAAGTATGACTTAAGCCAAAATTTTGAATGCAATCAGAAGTAGACTAATCTCCCAATAGTTGTTGAAGAAAAAAGACGTGAACCTTGTTTAAAGACAAGAATTACATGTGAATATTTCAATTTTCAATAACAAAAGTGATAATTACTAATCTCATTTGACGAATTCACTTATATACACGAATGATATATCTTATTTCAAGCCGAAAATACATTAAATATATTAGTAGAATAAATTACCTCTAGAACGTTAATGAATAAAATATTTTGAGTATTAGTATCATATTAGTTTTGGCAAACTTGTGTAAAGAAATTTGTACAAAACAGTATTATGGTGAAAAACTATATGATATTTAATGTTTTATTTTTAGAAGGATTTTAAGTTTTTCACTGCTTATATTTGAAAATTATGTTTAATTAGTCCCAAATAGGATGACAAGCATGTCTTTGATTGAACTGCTAGCTGATATTCGAAGTATAATTTTTTACTGATATTTTAATCATATAAACAGAGAGATAAGATACAAACAATACTGTGAACAATAATTTATCTATAATTACTGCCTATGTACAGTGGGGATATTAGATGAGCACTTTGAGAGTTAAGTGAAGAACATGCTGGGTATACATAGTCAATTGATTGATAAGGTTGTGAACATTTACAGACTGAAATGGTTGATACTTGAATTACACAATATTCAACCACCCAAAAAAAAAACTCCGTATACAATATCGTTCAGTAGTAACAAGTAGACTGGAAAACGGTTAGGGTGACTTAAATAACATATGGGATTAATCAATCGGGTATCTAATGGTCAGTCTGATCTGTATATTGAAAGATGTAAACTCTCTGATTTGGAATAATTCAAGAAGTTTAATCAGTGGTTGGAAACTGGACAATATGGGCCAAAACAGAAGAAGTCATTCATTGTTTTCCTGTTCAAATTGTTTCTTTGATATTACTTTATACCTTTCCCCCTCAAATTTGGTACTTTTTTTCCAACATATCTTTGGTAAGAGTAGCTTCTCCGCTATCTTTGGAATTACTTTTCTAACTTTTTCTTCATTTAAATTGTTGATTCCCAGAAGATATTCTAATAGGAATTGTAGTAAATTGTGCTAGTCCATATCTGTTTGAGGTCCTATGTTGTTTGTGGCTAACTGATCTATTAGCTTTGTTTAAAAAATAATAATTCGTTTCAGCTGGAAAAAAATAGAGTCCTACAGTTTGAGAAATTTGACTAGTAATATTATGCAATGAACCCCAATGATCAAGCAAAGACTTCATTCCATAATTAGATAATCATCGAGAGAGTAACGTAATATGAAAATCCAATAAAGTTTAATCATTTGGTTTAAAAAATGTGAGTATAGGTCATAAGTTGTAACCAAAATACTGAATACGAACTACTGAAGTATCACTGATATTTAGTCTGAAGTTAAACAATCTTTCTTATTAAAAGTACATTAAAAAGTTCGATATAGTCATAGTGATTAGTCACATGTTGACCTTTTACATGATTTATTTTGAAAGTTAGTATAATAAAATTACTGTGTCTGGTAACATTTATGTTGTTTCTTTTTAGAGTAGTTATCTTGATATAACGATTCTGAAATGATTAAGCCAATTACATTTATTCATTATCCAGTAAATGATAGATCCTGTAAGTTTAATTTGAAAAGCTAAACATGCCAACAAACTCTACATGAGGGCAAATCATGATGTGGGATCATTTCGTGAAGTGACGAACTGTTAATCCGAGCCATGTTGATGGGTTGAGACCATTTGATTGGGGTCTGTGTAATTATCATGACGGATAGTTGGAGACTTTGACTGACACAGCTCAGAATAAGATTTAGTGGTGCTGATCCATTCATTCTATATCTTAATCTAGATCTTGAGCTCTAATGTCCATTCATATTTACTTTTTCACTCTTTCTTCTCGAACGGTATTATAAATATTTAATATTTTCTACTATTATCAGTTACTTCGATTCCTTTACTATTTCATTATGTTAATTCCGTTCAGATGTGATATTATGGTATACAGACTTGCGACAATACACACATATACTGTCTTCGATATTGCTTATAACTGACTGATTGCAAACTGAAAATTTGAAGACTATCATCAATATATCACAGAAAAGTGTACATAATTTTCATGTGATTAGTATGATAATCTCCTCGAATTTCGAAATATCCCTGTTCCATATAGATAGATAATTTTAAATATCACATGGAGTGCTTCAAACAAAAGTTTTCACAACGTAATGATACTGAGCACAAATATACACGTTAACATTAATCAGTGGCAAGAAAATTTCATAGTTATGTTACGTGGATGGAGATAGTCGTCAGGAAACCCTAGACTTAGGTTTTGTGATCGTCGGTCACTAGTCGGAAACCCCCACCTGGAGTATTGATGGAACTTACGTTTCCTATGAGATTCAAACATTCATCACCCAGTTTTGCAGATTGAGACGTTATTACTGAGCCATTCGGGTCGCGATTGACCTTCTGTAAGACTAAGATATTTGCAACTGATTATTAATTTAACTGGTTTGTAGATTAACGAGGACATTTCTCAATTAAGCTAATGTGGAAAGAATACTTCTGCAATCAAATTAACCTACCCATTTTCCAACAACTGATCTCCAGCCAACAATACAATTATTTAACCAAGAGTGAGATTTGATGATTGATTTTGAAAAGATAGCTGAGTTAGATATACGTACGCCATCTTCAATTATGACACCTGCACCAATGGTCACATTAGGGCCTATTCGACAACCGTGACCTATTTTTGCAGTTTCGTGCTAAATAAAAGTTTGATTTTCAAAAAAAGAAGTGAGAAAAGGGAAGCATATAAACCGAATTTTATCTAATCAACAAGACAAAAAACATTCATTGGTGTTCTACTCTTTTGGAAAACATCAGATATTGATGACGAACAGTTACCTCACTCTTCATGATATATAGCCCAGCTTGATAAACTGATCAAGAATTACCATGTGGAAATAATCACAGCAAAATATACCATAAAAATTTTCGATAAAAATCAAAGTTACTTTTTTATGATACCTAAGTACATACTGTAAACTTTCAACATGTTTTAGTATTTAGATTATCTACGAAGATATTACGAATGACTAGATAGAAATTATATCTCTGAATAACTGTCCTCAAAAGTTTTAACACTTAAAAAATGTTAGTCAAACTTATGTTTCAGGTGACCTGGTGTTTTATTATTCGCATAGTTTGTCATTTGACATTTCACCTTCGACTGGGAAAACATCATCAAAACTAGATATACATGAATGTGAAGCTGAGTAATCCTTTGAAACGGGTATGATTCAGCATCAGAATTACATTAGTGATCCATAGTAAAGATTTCACTTACGGACAAACCATTGAAAAAGAATAGGTCTTTAATTTTTAACTTATTATCCATGATGTTTTTTCTAATTTATACAGACTGTATCTATTTCTATGCTTTTTAGTTTGAAAACCCGAATGGTCATATGTGCAAATACAAATGATAATATATTATAGCATTTTACGACTAAACAATGGTCATAAAAGCTTAGCTAAGAAAGATAATTGTATTGAACACGTAAAATTCTTCAGTTTCTATGGGTAATTTCGTTTCCTTTCACCGTAGAATCTTGAATGAATATTAGAGAAAGAGAATGTGAGTAATAAACTCGATTTATGGCAACACACTGACTCCACTATGAACGATTATGAATGAACCGTGAAATATAAATTCTCCGTTAGGCTAACTCTCTTGGTCAACAGCGGTAATAAAAACCACGTATAAATTGAGTTGGAAGAATTTATTTCGGGTATTCATTTATTCAGACAGGTTGTAAAAAATGAATCCAGAAGGAAGGCTTCCCAGCCTACTTCATTTTATTAAATGTGACTAAACAGGGAACGAATATATTGAGCGATAACCAAACACATGCATGCATATGTCCATATAAAAACAATGACAGTTGCAATCGAATAATTGACAAATGCACATACATGTGTACACACAGTGATTGGAAAAACTAGGATTAATTTAGAAAAGATGGAATTTGGCTAGCATTGGAGTTCAGGGCGTATGCTTTGTCCTGTTTAAGGACCGTCAGATGGATATACCTAGATCCCAGAGTTGATATTTACTCTGAAAATCGAAACCAGTGCCGTTCTCTTGAAATCCCATAATGTGATTTATGAAGCTACTGGGTTAATCACTTGTACAATGGATATGTGTTTTAGTTCAATATGAGACGGTTTGGACTATCTAGTTGTTGACCTTTTAACTGGAATTTGGTCATTCTTGGTTGGAACGGTCGTTACTGGGTTCAAGTCTGGGAGTGAACATTAACTCTGGGATCCAGGTACGTCCAGATGACGAGTTCCATATTGGATGGAACGCGCGTTCTGAATTCTACTCCTAGCCACATTCCATTTATTATATATTAACTTGTGTCATGATGACTTTTTCGAGGCAATCTACAGAGGATGCACATATCTTAGCCAAAACTGATCGAATTCCAGTCGAGATATTAACAAGGGAATAATCCTAACCACTTCAAATTGGATTGGGTCGATTCTTTTATCAAAGAGATAACATAAATCTCTTGATTTTTATAAGGAATCGATACGGGCACCGAAGATTTTATTCAGTCATACGGTATATAATACTACAAAATTATCGCATAAATTAATTCCAAAAACAGGACGAATAGCAGTTACTCAGTGTTTGATGAATCAAAGGTAAAGGGATTTGACGTACAACCAATGAAAGCGTAGAGCATTTGTTTATACTGAACGTTCGCTGTATATAACTCCAGTTAATTAACATGTTATGACACATTTTTGAAAAAAATTAAGACTAGCTCTATCTAGTTTTTATTCCTCTGTTCAAGTAAGCGCTGATATTAAAGATGAATCCCAGGTATAAAGAAAGAATGTCGACTATATGTGTTCGAATAAATCTCCAAGTCAGTCAGTTAGTCAGTCAGTAACAACGTAGAACTTCGTACGTACGTACATCAGTTCGAGTTGCCACACCACATTAGCACAGAGATGCAGTTGTCGATTCAAATCCCGTAGTGGTAGAGGTAATAAGAGTATAAGCAGTAGTCGGAAAGATTAGTGCTTGGAGATGTTACTTAAAGAGTATAATACAGTGAAATAAACTTGGGAAGAGAAAAAAAGTAGACAAGGGAGGATCAGGAGATCAAAATTTGGGAGAACACAAAGAGTGTATGCACCTGCACCATTGCAAACGATTTTGAGCCATGTCATTCAAGGTCTCTAACCATCGGTTGCTATCATCTCGCAGTCCCCAACCAGGTAGTGTACACCTACCAACACGACTAAGTTCACTTGTCAGTGACTTCATGGACTTGTGCCATGTTTTGGTCTGGCCGCCCCTAGCTTTCTTCCAACCTACTCCTATACCACTGAACATCGCATGTCGAGGCAGTCGGTCGTTGGGCATACGTAACACATGTCCCAGCCATCTCAACTGATGAAGTTTCACTACTTCATCAATTGATTTGCCATCCTTACCTAGTACCCGTTTCCTAACAACTGTGTTACTTACTCGATGGACCCAGGATATACGAGCAATATTTCGAAGACACCTATGATCAAATACTAGTAGTCTACGAATATCCTCTACTCCTACCGGCCATGTTCCACTGCCATAAAGCAAGACGGAACGAACTGCTGCGCAGTAAGCCCGTCCTTTGGTTGATAGACAGATATCTCACCTACTGCATAAATGACGCAAGTTAGCAAAAGCTAGTCGAGCCTTCTGTATCCGTGCTGAGATTTCGTCACACACCAGACCACAAGGGCTGATGAGACTCCCAAGATAAGTGAAGCGGTCGACACACTCAACTACTTCACTCCATATCACTAGTTCGGGTGTCGATGTAACCCAATCCTGAAGCAACATTTTGCATTTCGAGGGGGAGAATCGCATCCCGAACATGCTTGCATTGTTGCTTAGAGAAGACTCTGCATTTTGTCAGCGTCTTCACCAAATAAAACTATGTCATCAGCATATTCTAAGTCAAAATTTCCAAGTAAAAAAAAATTCATTTTGAGATGTAAAGTGGTAAACTGACTGGAAACCCTGGATCTAGGTTTCGTACTATTTAGCACTCATTAGCAAAGTATGCTAGTAATTGATATGGCTGGATAGAAAGAGTAAAACCAATTCGGTGGGAAATTCGATCAGTATAATACTGCACATATCAGCAGCGGCCTCACAGTTTGAAACTCCCCATCCGTTAACCTGCACACCCATAAATTACCTTGGTACCTCAGGGAATTGCACTCGTGATTGTGATGCACATTCCAACGTACAACAGTCCAGTAGCCGTCTATAATCTTACAATACATGAAGGCCGGACATTGAGTGTTCATGGAAGCCCTTCATGACCAAAAATTTTAATAACATTAATAAAATTACCTCCTCCGTCTGACCCGATGTGACGAACCGCTAGATGTTATACGGCCATGTCTCCAGCATTCAAATTTAATATACGCGTTTTCATCTCTGCACAAATGCGAATCTCGAACTACATAATGACAGTAAGTCGATCTTTCATAATTTGTGGTAGCGGACTTCAACGCTTTAAGCAATGGGAACGCAACGAGAAACAATGTTGTCAAAAAGACTTCCTCCATTTTCGTTACGTGAGAAACAGCCGCGCTCGTACTCAGCACGTTACTCTCCTCCATAATGATGATTAAAATGTACTTCGTCGACAAGTACTGATGTTTTATAACAATTTGACAAGACATAACTAACCAATTAAAACGAATTTTAAAACTAGCCATTTCATTGAACGAAACGGGATAAAAAATATTGTAATTTTGGGGTTGAAAAATTTTTTAAAAAATGGTTTAAAAAAATTGCCGTGGGGATGATGAAAACCGTCAAACTATAAACATGTGACTGTTAATCTGACTAGACAAAAATCATAAAAAAGTTTTGTATATATATATCATTTTAGCTCATATTGAGGGTCAAGTAAATCCATATTAGGAGTCTTTTTATTTTCAGTATGTGTTGACAAATTGGGGTTCTTATTATCTAGTATTAGTCACTTCAGGATATCTGCAGACACAACAAATATCAGGCATAACAGTAGTATTGTTGGGAACTGGTGATCCCTGACGGGTTTGATTCTATGTCACCTAGCTTTACAATCAAACACGTCGGTACTGAGCTATTCGAATCTAACATAACTGCGAATGGATTTTAAGAATCAAAGGAATAAGTTGTATTTGAACTTCATTTTAAGTTGTGTTCTAGCTAAATATTAAATATATTAATTGTGATAAATAAATAATTCGGTTCAGTAACCTCTTAGTGTTTTTTGGAGGTAGAATTGTCACCCATACACTGTAAAAACAAAAGATACTACTGGGTTCCCTCACACACGTCTAGGTTTAATAAAACACCAATGATTGATCAGTGATCTAAACGTGTTCATGTTATTTCTTCTAATAAAAAAGCTACCCAAAAAAGTTCTCAAAATCTATACACATCTCAATCAAGAAAAATAGGAACGCTTTTTTATATGATTTGCATATGATAGTGTTTTGAGTGAAAAAAACCAATTACATCTACATGTAAATGAAATGTTTATTAAACGTAAATAAAAACTCACGACAAGAACATTTCCTATCAAATTTGGATCAACTGTTAACAAAGGTGATTTACATTCATATAAATGGCCCAAATATAGTCGCATGCCCGTTAGATAATCTGCAGGTTGACCAATATCCATCCAAAACCCTTATGTGTAAGCAAATAGTCGAGTGAATCCAGTAGAAAATTATTGATATCAAAGCATTAAAGTAAACATTTTAAAAAATGATTAGGCAAAGGATAATTAATATTTATACATGGTGATGGTATGTCCTATTAAAATGATTTAATCCAAATTGAATAACGATCTGTGTTATATTCAAACACACCGAACTAACGATTTGACAAAATGGTTGGTATAATATCACTTGATGATCGAAATTAGCTTTACGAATGATGATTTTCAACCACCTGCCAATTTCATGTAAGATGCATACGACTGACAAAGTATTATATATAAATACATTACTCATGAAGTACCAAAACATATATTTTGTGCGAACAAACATTATAAACAACACAACGGGCAGTATAAAAATAATTACCGTCATATCAGACATTGATATTTGGATTTTATATTCACGGAAATGAAGACTATTCAGATGGACTATCTGTACAAGGCATCATGTATCTAATAAAACTCAAACCATCTGGCTTAGTTACTGAAACAGAACACCATAAAAACACGGTACACATGTTCCAAAAGTAACATGTCCTGATACTAAATGCATATCTTACATAGTATTCACTTCAATCCGAATAATGCTTAAGTGTTGAAAAATAAACAATATTAGAAAGCATTTTATCACTATTATTTGAAAAGTAGGTAACTTGGAATGCAAGACATATACTATATCTTAATCACTAGCTTTTCTACATAAGTAGCTACTGAATACTTACTTTGTTTGTTAAGACCTACATCTGCTGAAAAGCAGATATATCCTCTAGAAATCACAAATGGTAAGACAAAAAAGGTAAAAGTGATTACAAGATAACGATATTGGAAAACTTTATATAGTATCTGTGCTTCATTATTTAATACTGTTTTATGACTCTACTGTGGTGTATGAATTCAAGTGGTTTACTAACAGCATTCTAAGTGTCTGGAAGTATTCGTATAACATTGGAGTAATAGCTCAGTGACTAAAGAGTTCGACTCTTAGCCAGTACATCCCAGGTCCAAACTCCAATCTACCTAACGCTGTTATTGCTCGTATCAACCGCCCAAAGTTAGTTAAACTAATCTGAACCTGGAAAATTAGCTGATAGTAAAAACATTCATATAAAAAATTAATGCGTTTAAAATCACTACGTTATTAAACCTCTGCTCTACATGCTCCTTAATCTAATTTTAAGTCCTCGTTGCTGTCATAAAATTTTACCAACTAACTTGAAAAATGTCGTGAACTTTAATTCATTTAAGTGAAGTGGCAAAAGTACAATAAACGGTTACAGGTTCTCATATTCCGTTATGATCCTCACTTTGTGTGCCGGCTAATGATATTATTCGGTATCGCCAACCGACGTATTAACACGAATTCTAGAAGCACTAATTCGGTGATTTGACATTGAGCAGAGTTGGTGTTTTTTTGGGTCTACCACGGTTGTGACTCTGAAAAGCGGCTTTCCAGATAAGCTTATTTGAGACTGTTACATAACTAGAGCATCCGATATTACCTTCAGTTACCTTTCCGTTAAACTTGAAGACAAAGACGTTGCAACTTATAAATCAAGAATTATAAAACTCATTCACAATGTTTGATCATTACCAGCTGACAGTTTTGAGTACAATGCTACTAAATGCAAACCAGATGGATCATTTGTTTCTCTCAGGATGATTTTAAAGTTTGGAAGTTCTAGCCAATATATGTTGCAGTACTTAATGTTTCAACCTGAAAGTTGCTAATCACCAGTGGTACCATGGCTTTGTGTCTTTGACACTTAATACACTTCATAAAAAGTTATTTATTTATTTATTTGAACACATAAATATTGGTACAAGAGAGCGCCAATATATATGCGCCACAAAACAAGTGAAAACACTATCTTCCGAAAATGTATGTGTTACACTTACACCTACGATAGTTCAGAGAAACGCATAAAGCTTGTAACATTATTCTCAAAATGCGTACAATTATAACAACCGAACATTGAAAATATGTGTTAAATATTATCTGGAAGTTTTTACATGGTGCTAACTAAAATCGAGGTATAAGTGACTGATATAACACTGTAAAAGCAGAATATTAATGAATTTCTCAAAAAAGGTGTTTAAGAACCTTCACTCATATTTGAACAAATAAGGTTGACAGTTATGAGACATTTGTCTAATCAAGTGCTGGTAGTTATATAAACTTTTCATCAAAACGTTTGAACAAAAGAGTGTTCTAAGAACAGTAGTCAAAGTGAAAGTTGTACTATGGTCTGAGATTTAGTCTAAGGTCTACCTTGACAATATTTTCTTGCTGTGATAATGTAGTGAGACAACTTGAACTAATGCACATATGTACCAGGTCCTACGTTGAGAGTGATGGAGTGAACAACAAATAAATTTGTGGTGTGAAATGATATCATACTGGTAAAGTCTTCAGGAAACCACTACTTACCTGAGAACTCAATGCAGTACAGTTCAGAATCCCTCACCATTGCTGGAAAAACAGCTGTTTCAATGGACATCGGCTTGGCCTGTAAATAACAGATTTGCAAATAATGTCACCTCGATACGCTTGAGAATGGTAGGCTCAAAAATGTAGAGTCCAGCGTTAATTCTGTTAGCGACATATTCCGATGGTTTTTCAACAAAACGTTTTACAAGACCTGTTTGATCATTGTGCACCACAGCACCATACTTTGATGGCTCTTCAACTTTTGTGACCTAGGTATTTGAAACTAATAGAAACACATTTACTGCCATTGTACCCTCTTTTCCATGAGATATGTGGAATTCTAGCATTCTTTTGAAAGGATAATTACAAATGATATCGCTGTTTAGAACAAAAAACCTTTCCCCTGCTAAAAATGGCGCTGCCTGTGCAAGTGGACCTCCTATAGTAATCAGAATATAAGGAATGAAAGAAACATTGCCTGTGTCCAGTGCTTCTTTTTCGTAAGAGAAAACAATTTTTACACTGGTGTTTTGGATTACCTTACAAATACAAGTACACAATGATTGACGCTTACTTTATCACAACTTTCTCTTATACTCGATTCCAAAACTTCAGCTTCACGGTTGATTGCAAGGATAATTTCAGTAATGTCAACCTAGAATTAAAACAGAATATAGTCTATTTTACTAATACTTCAAGTAAAGCTTTGATTTGATGTAGTAACATTGGTTTGTTTGCGAATTCGACTAGGGGTTTGGGAATACTAAGTGTTAAGGGACGTAATCTAGTGCCATAACCGCCGATTAGTATCAACGCCTTCATTAGTGCGCGGATAACAGACGACAGGAAAATGGATGGCCTTGAAAAGTTCCCTTTCTGTGAGAAGATTAAACACATTTTTTTAAAAAAGTAATAAGTGCATATATAGCTTATAAATGTCTGAAAAAACACTAGTATGTTCGCTATTACTGTACATCTTGATCACGCTAGCTCGAATTTAACACACGTTCTTTTGGTTGATTTCCATTCGATTATAGCTAAGACATTCCAACAATAATAGTGTTTGCATTTCATAATGATCACCACCCATTTAATACCTCACTCTGTAGTGATGAGCCGCAAGGCTGGACCTTCCCATTTACTGCTTTGAAAGCTATTATATGTATAAATGTTAATGCCATATTACTGAAAAATGCATTCACCTTCATGTTAATCGGAAGCAGAATCAAGGCTCTGACACGACTGGTAACTTCAAAACGTAAAACACCTACACTTTATCCAAAAAATGGTTGAATTTTCTTGTAAGTAATTATGAATTTGTCATATTTTTACTAAGATAATTATAGATTTTTCTAGGTTATTCTAATTATAATAACTCCTAAAACCATACATCATTGGGTATTCTCTTTCATACTTTTTCTGTTTATTAGTTCAACTCAACTTTATTTACTTTCCTATACTATCGATTAGATATACTATTAGTCCTCTACAGGACTATCTACAACAGGTGGTTTGGGATGTTCCGCCTCAACTCAATGTGGATGCTCATTGGGACTTCTTACTGCACACGCTCATATGTGCTACAAATCATTCAGTTCCTCAAACAGTCCCCCCATAGCTGTCAGCGACCCTTAATCATCAAGAACCCCACTCTTCGTCTGCTAAGCCGTAAAAGGCACTGTTGGGCAGAGTATAAACGAACTGAAAACAACGGAGCGTACAGGCAATATAAACATATCAGGGATATATGCACGAAGGCTATAGGAGAAGATAGGCTTCAGTATCAGACAAAGCTTATAGACAACTTTGCCTCTAGTCCGAAAAACTTATTCCGTTATGCAGTCTCTCTTCACCAAGCCAAAACTGGAGTTTACCAAATGGTATGTCTTAACGGCCCGTTCAACAACGATGGAGACGCCGCTAAACTTTTGGCTGAACAATACTCTTGGACATTTCAACCGACCCACATCAACTATACTGATGAAAGCTTCATTTGCAACTCCAAAGGACTTTTCGAAGTGAAGCTGAGCACTGACTTGGTATCCCGATAACTGCAGCGCTTAAGAATAGACACTTCTCCTGACCCGGATATGGTCCATTTTGCCATACTGAGGGAAGCAGCCTCAATCCTGGCAATGCCGCTTAGCGTGATGTTCTCACACTCGCTAAGCCGAGGAAAACTACCGGAAAATTGGAAGTTGGTTCACATCACACCAATTTTCAAAGGAGGTCAACGCAAAGAACCTTCAAGTTACCGACCGCTGGCTCTTCTCTCAATATCTTCAAAAATCATGGAGTCCCTGATATGCGAAACTCCGCCTGTAGCTCTTATAGGGTTACTGCCGGTCCCAAGCCCGGGTAAAGGAGGAGGGTTGGGCATGGGGTTAGCGCCCCCATCCCGTAGAAAACTAACTCGCTAAAAAAACGCTAACCAGAAAAAACAATCCAAACCATTTAAACTCTGCCCTGGGAGTTAGAAGGTCTTCATTTAGAAGAATTATGACGCTTCATGGTGAAAGCCGAGTTCCTTCGGAAGCCACGAGGCCGATGCCCCTTCTAACAACCAGAGCAAAAATTTTTATAGGTACATGGAACGTTCGAACAATGTGGGAAACCGGGAAGACCAGTCAAATAGCATTGGAAATGAGGAGATACAACTTAGCCGTACTGGGAATCAGCGAAACCCACTAGACCCAAGCTGGACAGAAAAGGCTAGCTACGGGAGAGATGCTGCTATACTCCGGTCACGAAGAGGACAATGCTCCACACACTCAGGGAGTCGCTCTTATGCTGTCCAAATTAGCACGAAATGCACTTGTAGGATGGGAATCCCACGGATCCAGAATCATCAAAGCATCATTCAAAACAAAGAAGGAGGGGATCTTAATGAATATTATCCAATGTTATGCACCCACAAATGATAGCAACGACGACATTAAAGATCAGTTCTACGAGCGGCTGCAGTCAGTTATTGAGAAATGCCCAAGGAAGGACCTAACTATTCTGATGGGAGATCTAAATGCCAAAGTCGGAATAGACAACACTGGATATGAAGATATTATGGGACGACATGGACTGGGAGAAAGAAACGAAAATGGAGAAAGATTTGCAAATCTATGTGCATTCAACAAATTGATCATAGGAGGCACAATATTTCCACACAAGCGTATACACAAGGCTACATGGATCTCACCGGACCACACTACAGAGAACCAAATAGATCATATTTGCATCAACAAAAAATTCCGAAGGACAATGGAAGATGTGAGAACCAGGAGAGGTGCTGACGCAGCTTCAGATCACCACCTAGTTGTGGCCAATTTAAAACTGAAGCTAAAAAAGAACTGGACAAGTGGACAAACAGCAATACAAAGGTTCAATACAGCCTTCCTTCGAGATACTGACAAACTCAATGAATTCAAGATAGCTCTCAACAACAGGTTCCAAGCCTTACAAGATATACTGAAAGAAGAAGAAACTAGTATGGAGGACAACTGGAAAGGCATCAAGGAAGCATTGACTTCAACGTGTCAAGAGGTTCTGGGTCCAAAGAAATACCATCATAAGGAATGGATCTCTACAGAAACACTGGACAAGATCAAAGAAAGGAAGAACAAGAAGGCAGCAATAAACAACAGCCGAACACGAGCAGAGAAAGTCCAAGCACAAGCTGAATACATAGAAGAAAACAAACAAGTGAAGAGGAGCATTAGAGCCGACAAGAAGAAATATGTGGAAGAACTAGCAACGACGGCAGAAAAAGCTGCTAGAGAAGGAAATATGAAACAGCTTTACGATACAACGAAGAAACTAGCAGGAAAATACAGTAAACCAGAGAGACCGGTCAAAGACAAAGAAGGCAAGCCAATCACCGAAATTCAACAACAGCGGAACAGATGGGTAGAATACTTCGAGGAACTCCTGAATAGGCCGGCTCCAATGAATCCACCGGACATCGAAGCGGCACACACAGATCTTCCCATAGACGTCAACCCACCAACGAAGGAAGAAATCAGAATGGCCGTCAGACAAATCAAGAACGGGAAAGCAGCGGGTCCGGACAACATACCAGCTGAAGCACTGAAGTCAGACATCGAAGCAACTACAAACATGCTTTATCTTCTATTCAAAAAGATTTGGGGGAGGAACAAGTGCCGATGGACTGGAAAGAAGGACACCTCGTCAAGATTCCAAAGAAAGGAGATCTGAGCAAATGTGAAAACTATAGAGGCATTACACTGCTGTCAATACCAGGGAAGGTCTTCAACAGAGTGTTGCTGAACCGAATGAAAGATGCAGTAGACGCCCAACTTCGAGATCAACAAGCTGGATTCCGTAAGGATCGATCATGCACAGACCAAATTGCAACACTACGGATCATCGTCGAACAATCAGTTGAGTGGAACTCATCACTATACATCAACTTCATTGATTATGAAAGGGCATTTGACAGTGTGGATAGGAGGACGTTATGGAAACTTCTTCGACACTACGGAGTTCCTGAGAAGATTGTCAACATTATCCGGAACTCATACGACGGACTACAGTGCAAAGTCGTGCATGGAGGACAGCTGACAGATGCATTCCAAGTAAGGACCGGAGTCAGACAAGGCTGTTTACTCTCTCCCTTCCTCTTTCTTCTGGTGGTCGACTGGATTATGAAGACCTCGACATCTGAAGGAAAACACGGAATTCAATGGACAGCTCAGAATCAATTAGACGATTTGGACTTCGCAGATGACCTAGCACTCCTATCACGTACACACGAACAGATGCAGATGAAGACAGCCAGTGTAGCAGCAGTCTCTGCATCAGTAGGCCTCAGCATACACAAAGGGAAAACCAAAGTCCTCAAATTCAAAGCGGAAAACAACAACCCAATCACTCTTGATGGCGAAACTCTGGAAAATGTAGAGTCCTTCACATACCTAGGAAGCATCATCGATGAACACGGAGGTTCAGATGCAGACGTAAAGGCAAGGATTGGCAAAGCAAGGACAGCATTCCTACAGTTAAAGAACATATGGAACTCAAAACAACTTTCAACCAATATCAAAGTGAGAATCTTCAATACCAACGTCAAGGCAGTTCTACTGTATGGAGCTGAAACTTGGAGAACTACAACAACAACCATCAAGAAAGTACAAGTATTTATAAATAGTTGTCTACGCAAGATACTCAACATCCATTGGCCGGATACCATCAGCAATAGCCTTCTGTGGGAGAGAACAAACCAACTTCCAGCTGAAGAAGAAATTAGGAAAAGACGATGGAAATGGATAGGACATACATTACGCAAATCGTCAAACTGCATCACGAGACAAGCCCTAACTTGGAATCCTGAAGGGAAGCGAACAAGAGGAAGGCCAAAGAACACATTGTGTCTGATAATAGAAGCAGATATGAAAACGATGAATTACAACTGGACGGAGCTAGAAAGGATTGCCCAGGACAGGGTTGGATGGAGAATGCTGGTGAACGGCCTATGCTCCTTCACGAGGAGTAACAGGCGTAACTAACTAACTAACTAACTACCCTGATATGCGATGGTATAAACGACTATTTACCGTCCTTAAATTTCTTCTCACCCAAATAGCATGGTTTTGGGAAGGGTTATTCTTGTATAACCAAACTGCTGGCTGCAACGGACAGATGGACAAGCGTCCTCGATCACTAGGGAAAAGTTGATATCATCTACCTAGATTTCTCAAAAGCTTTTGATAAGGGTAACCACACATGGCTTATCAATAAGCTCAAACGATTGAGTATCAGACCACCTCTAATCGATTGGCTCACCTCATGACTGAAAAATCGATGTTTTAAGGTCAGGGTTAATTTCACTTTATCTCAGGCTATAGAA